TTGAAATCACCCAGCAGGAGCACAGGCTCCGGCAAGGAGTCTAGGAGGTGTTTCAAATCAGGAAGAGAGAGCGGGACACTCGAGGGGAGATAAATGGAACAAACTGTGTACCATTTCCCCACAAAGATACGAGCAGCAGAACAATGGAGAGGCGAAGGAAAAAGTAAAGGAACAAAGGGAACATCAGCCCGAATCAAGAGAGCAGAAGAATTAGAAGCCCCAGCAATGGCTGGGGGGGAGGGGGGAGAGAAAGGAATAGCCACGAAAACGACCAGGACGAGCACCAAGCATTGGCTCCTGGAGACAGACACAAAGGGGCGAAAACCGCAAAATCAGAAGTTGGAGTTCGAGGAAATTGGCGTAATAACCTCGAACGTTCCATTGAAGAATGGACAACGACGAGAAGAGAAAGGACAAAAACAGAGAACAAGGAAGAAACAAAGGCGAAAGAGCAACAAAGCACGTTAAAGAATATCAGGGTCGGGATCAGGGTCAGCAAAGTCAGGGTTAGGGGGCATGGGTAAACTGAGCAAAGACGGAGGGAAGGAAACGGGAGAACAGATCAGAGGTGGGCGGGCAGGGTCCGGAGGAGGAGGAAGAGGAGGAGACAACGGAGAGGAGCAGTCAAGGACAGCAGCAGGAAGAGGGAGAGTAGAAAGAGGGGAGCGCACCCCAGCAAGAGCAGCAACCGAAAGGGAAGCAGGGGCCAAAGAAACCTCCATAGCAGGAACAGGGGGCGCAAGCACTGAAACGGGAGGGGAAGGAGCAACAGAGCCAGGAGGAGGAGCTGAGGAAGAAAGCGAAGCCTTCTTACCCGCCGGGGAAGAGGAAGGAGAGGAGCCAGGCTTACGCTTCTGACTTAAAGAGACCGGTGTCCCAGCAACTACGTACCGGGCAACGGATTCCAGTGTCTCAACAGGAGAAGCCGAACGAGAGCACACACGACGGCCGTTAGGAGAGCGATGGACATCCGCCCGCACCGACAGGCGGTGGGGAGAGCCGATAGATGGAGGAAGAGGATGGGAAGGAGGATCGGAGGGGGACGAGGAAGAAGACACAGAAGACACGACAGACCTGGTAGAAGGAAGGGGAACCCCAGACAGAGGACCAGGAGGAGGATCCTTCGGGAGAGAACCCAAAGGAACAGAGGAGGGGGCAGTGGGCGCATCAGGGTCCAAGGCCCGGAAACGGTTGCGAGTCTGAGTAAGGCGGGAAGGACGAGGAGAGGAAGAGCACAACACGCGAGCATAAGAGATATTAGCATAAGGCGGGAGCCGGCGAACCTGGCGCCTCGCCTCAGGAAAAGATAAACGCTCCCGGTGCTTCATGTTGAGGACGGCTGCCTCAAGCTTGTAATGGACACACGCACGGGAGAAGGTAGGATGGGCCTCACCGCCGTTGAGGCAACGAGCCTGGGGAGAAGTGCACTCCGACTTAGAGTGACCTTCGCCACCACACAAAGGACAGAGAGAGACGGTCCCGGAGCAGCAGAGGGCACCATGCCAAAACCTCCAGCACTTGTTGCAGAGCCGAGGAGAAGGAATGTACTCCTGGACAGAGCACCTGGCACCAGCAAGAATGACAGAGGGTGGAAGGGTCCTACCATCAAAGGTAATCTTCACAACCCGGAGGGGTTGACGGCGACTACCACGAGGGGGACGAGTAAACGTGTCCACCTGGAGAATAGAATGGCCCTGGGCAGCGAGGATATGTCAAATATCGTCGTGGCAGTCGCGCAGGTCCCGAACACCGGTCGCAACATGGGGCGGGAGCAAAATAGTGCCAACACTGGCATTCAACTGAGCGTTCTTCGAGACCCGAACGGGGGTCTCGCCAAGGCAGGATAAGGCAGCCAAGCGGGAAGCAGCATCCTGAGAAGGAGCAGCAACGACACGTGTACCGAGACGAGTGGGGTTGAAAGTAATGGAGGCATCCACGGAATCAATGAGATGTCGATGGAGGGAGAAATCGTCAGGAGGCGCAGAATCAAGAGGGAGGAGATCAAAATATTTGGCCCACGAAGCGGGACCAAACAAGGCTTGATAGGTAGCAGAACTGGAAGGAATCGAGCGAGGGCGGCCGTGACGAGGAAGGCGGTGAGAACCCCCAGAGAGAGGGGTTAAAAGGCGCAGTAGTTACAACTAGAGAAGGAGCCGCGCCAGGGGACGAGGTAGTCACCACTGGGGGCTTGGGGCTCGACCCAACCACAGAGGAGGGAGGGGAGCCAGGGGAAGGAGTCAGAGAGGCCAAAGGAGGAGCAAGGTCGGGGCCCAATGCAGCGGAGGCTACAGAGCCCGGTCTTCCAATACGGACCGACTCGGGGGCTTGGTCGCCCACCCCACGAGCCTGAGAAGGTAAACCAGAAGCAGCCGAAACAGGGGTTATCATCTTGACGAAAAGAAGAATTCATTCACGAATGTGCCCCCACACCCACCATGGAGCCACAATTAGAGGCAGGACACCCAACCAGAAACTATCTCCGATCTTGTCGGGGCCTTCTAGGGGTGCGTCGTGAGTATAAGCCCCACAAACGCCACCTTAAGAAACCGACAGTCCGTCGAGATCGGGTTCAGTGACGAAAGGGGGATTGACAATAAAAGGTTCCCCTCGCTCTCGACGTCGGGTACTACAGTTCTATGGGTGCAAGAGTATGCCTCCTCAAGCACCCGGGCGTCAAAATAGAAGAAACCAAGGGAAGAACCAGAACGAACAAAAGGTCGGCAGGAAACGGCAAGCAGATAGGAGAAGAGGGTGGAGAAAAACGAAACAGAAGGAAAAGGAAAAGATGCCCAGCAGAATTGGAGAGGACGGCAGCAGGAGCACAAGGCTAGAAAAGGACAGAGGACTGTCCCAAGGAGCATCACACTCCGGCAGCCGCCCACTAAGCCCCCACACGGCGACAACGAGCTGAGCGGGGAGGGGGACAGGGCAGAAGAGTCCCACCATCAGAGGTAATTTTCATAAAAAGGCTCAGTAATCAGAATGAGAAATGGAGCCGCACCAAAGGACGAGGTGGTCACCACTGGGGGTCTCGGGGCTCGACCCTACCAAAGAGGAGGGAGGGTGGTAGTCCGGACCTGGGCCCAATGTAGTTGGGAGGAGGGGGGCCTACGAGCCCGGTCTGCCATCACAGTCCAACTCAGGGGCCTGGTCGCCCAACCCATAAGCCTGGGTTAAGAGAGGTCGAGTCGTCATCCATAAAGTAATCATTTTAAACAGTTTGGGGCCTGGAACCAAGGGATACCATCTACCAAGGCAGTCAGGGAGGCCGAGCATGGGCCAGTGCAGGAAGGGGTGCGTCGTCGACAGGAGCACTCTCCAATTTTAACAGGGGAGTCCTACTGCATCGTCCATTCTCCCACACTGGTGCAAAGACATCTTCCCCCTTGACGCCCCTGCCTAGACACCCAACCATCCATTCAGGGCAGCCCCTCACGGACCCGTAGAGGATGCAGGCACGCCAGAGCCCCAGCCACCGGGATCAGGAGCCAAGGCTTCTCCACCCCCGGCGCACATCCTTCCTCAGCATCACGACGAGGTTCAGATTATCATGGGCAGCCTCTCACTGTGAAGAGGCTATAGTAGCGGCGCAGGGGGCGACACAGAGCACCCCCCAGCCCCATTAGCCATGGCAGGAGACGCTGGAGCACCATACTTCCCCCCCCCCCCTCCACTCAAGGCACATTATAAAGGGGAGAGACACTTGGAACCCGCCACGAGCACTTTGAGGCAGGCTGCCGGTTGTCCGAGCTATCACCATCATCCCGCGTCACAACAGAACTCTCCGACGGGTGCACCTTCAAAGCACGGCTCCTGAGAACCGCAGCATCCACAACCGGGAACACCGGACCACACACCGCAGGAGACAGCCCCTCTGTGACATCCAGAGCGACACGAGGCACCGTATCCAGGGACGGAACAGGCAGGGGCGGCCTGGAGCGTCAGCCCAAACTCCCCGTCAACACCTACATCAGCACCCAGGCGAGCCGCAGGATTCAATATCGGGGCATCAGCCGGCAGGGAAGCAACACACATCCCAGTACTTGGAGACAGATCCGAGGATGACAGCAGGGGAAAATCCTCTTCCTCAAGTAGTTAATTGGGGTGACCCGGCGCTCACAAATCGCAGCCTGGTGGCCTGGTAGGCCGCACCTTAACATGTCTGGGGGCTGGCCCGCGTGAACACACAAATAGGGAACCCCAACAGCATGATAGAGGACGGTATAGGATCCCTTAGGCACATGGCAAGAGTGCGGGATCCCACACAGGACCCCCTTTCACCTCCCGGTGTGGACGGCGTTCATCCTCAAATGAAGGACCCGCCCTAAACGGCCAAAGTACCGACGTATTAGGTCCTCAGGTAACTCTTTGGGTGTTCCATGCGCCGCCACATACGGCGTCATACCACAGCGATCAGGGAAAGTCACCGATCCACCATCAGGAAGAGTGAAAGAGCACTCATCATAGCACACGACGAGATCACAAGAAGTCTCCAAGGAGCCCAACTTCACAATCGCCCGCATCCCAGCAAGCAGCTGTACACCACACACAGCCTCCATAGGAACATGTCGAGTAACACCACCTTCACTGCCTGGTAGGACGTATGCCCGGAAAACTCTAGGCATATCGAGTCCTGCCTGACGACAGGGGCACAGGCCCCACCATTCTGCAGAGCGTCACGGCTCCAGTGGGGGGGGGGAGGGAGAACCCCTTAGAAGAACACGGCACCCAAGCCACGTCAGCAGCTACACCCGGGTCCGCACACCACGCCGGTTTGACAACCGCCATACGAGAACCAACCCATTTATAATACACAGCATGCTTAAGTTGATGAATGCGTCAGGGGAAGACGGCTGCTGCTTTAACCATCCTAGTGTGAGGAAGGGTTGGTGGCTCCTCCCACAAAACAGCATAAGACTAGTTCGAATATTACCTTTACTAAAATGCAGTACAAAAGTTTTTCAATGTAGTCTTTGTACAAGGAAACCACTTATCGTTGTTCAGGTTTATTGATATCAAAAGGACAAATGCAGGTTAACATGGCAGTGTGGTGAACGAGTGAAGGCTCACAGGAAGCGGTGGGGATCGTAGGCGTAACCCAGCTGTACCACGTCCCCCTGCAGGGCGGCCTCGTCCGAGTACTGAGCCACAAGCATCAATGTCAACCATTAGACATGGAGAATACAATCACAAGGATTTCAAATTTCATTGGTTAAATTATTCATCATAGTTACACAGAATATATGAACAGGAACCGCTAAATGGAACTACTATTCTAAGTTTAATGAGTTCTTTCACAAGAACGCCCAATATTATTAGGAATCATACAAGGAGTGTTAACCTCATTACAGTTTACAATGTGTAAACCACACATTTATCCTCGTCCCTCCCCCCAGCAGCATGTATACTATGGTTTACAATATTTACCCAAACTGTATTCACCTAGTTGTGCTTGCGGGGTTAAGCTCTGCTCTTTCAGCCCGCCTCTCAACCAATCAATTTCCTCCCCCCATCCCCTTCTCCCAAGGAAACAGCCGATAACAAATGTCTAACTCCCAGGCACCTATTTACTGCTAGGTAGCAGGATATCAGGGTGAAAGAAACTATCCATTTGTTTCCGCCATGGCCGGAGATCGATCCGCGATCCTTAGGATAACGAGTCCCAAGCGCTGTTCACTCGGCCACAGGATCCTGTGTAATGCTGAGCAATGAACGAATGTATTATTCAGCCCACCAATCCCTAACTATCTAAAAACGATTTGCTCAAGATGTTCATCATTATTTAAGCTGCAAGACAATTTTATTTTGTGGTCCAGTTTAAGACTAACCATTAGCAACAAAGACACGATCTCGCAAAACATAACTTTTAGTTAACCTGTCTAATAAAGAGGTCTTTGGGCACCTACCCGGAGGAGCTGCACATCCTCGCTGGAGGCGAACTTGCAGATATGTTTCCTGAAGCAACGGTCGAAGCAGCACTTCTCGTAGTCTTCACAACCTCCGTCAGTAGCACAGAATTGTGGGACCAGAGCCAAGACCGTCAGGGAAGTTGAGAGATTACCTGTCACAGGTGTGGCATTTATATAGTAGGTATATAAAAACACGCGCATATTTGAATGGTACACACAACTTTAGACAACTATAGTACGCGAGAAGAACGGGTATTTAACAGTAATTGTACACACATTAGTCAGAATAGAGATCTCGCTACCCATGACTTGACATCTGAAATTGGACTAGGTTGTAACACGTCCAAATAGGGGGTAGCCACAGAACGGGTCAGTATATACCTATAGTCAATTTTAATATCAAAATTAACCATTTAGGCTTTATCCCGTGTCGACGGCGTCCACCGACAATATTTGAATGGAGGAGATTAATGTAATCACCCCCCCCCCAAAGCCTTCTAGCAAATATATTCACAGCAGTTTTAGAACGAGTTTTATATTGTGAATAAAAAGAATCAATGGGGGAACAAACGCGACATCTACACAAATTCGTGTTTAGAGACACGGTCCGTACAAATAAACTGCCCTGTATCAAGATTTTAAGCTAAATCTAGTATGAAAAACAGTCGACAGGAATTAAAGCTGTATGGCAAGATCATCACCCTACATGGAGGACAGTTGCCATAACCGTCAGGTTGCCTAAATAACCCAATACATAGACAACCCCCGTCGCCAGGAAGCCTGCAGTCTAGATCCTCCCCTTGGATAACTATAGGCTAACTTAAGATGCAACCCATAACAATTACCTATCTCCCAAATGCCTATTTCACTGTTAGGTAAACCAAGGCACCAGGAGATAGGAAACTTGCTAAATCGCTTCCGTTCTGCTTGGGAATCTAATCTGGGTCCCTCTGATGACAGTTAAGAACGTAGAGCATTACAAGGCCCACACGCCAAGGGCAAAACACGGATGTACATCAAGACCTTCAAGGCTGGCTAGGAACTTATTTAGTAACAATATAATGCTACATAGTTACACTTGGTGCTCGCTGTTGATAGTTACCAACAGTGAGGTGGCCTTCAGAGAACAAGGCACATGTGGGAGAAGTCAAGAATTACCCCCAGCAGAGCCGTCAGAGATGGGCATCAACTCACCTTAGGCAGGTCGGGGAAGGCGACACCATTGTAGTCTCTGCGAGGCAAGGTGTCGGGGAGCAGCTTGGCTACGACGGGACACAAGACACGAGTGGCAGGGCAATACCCGGCGTGTTCTGTAACGGTGAAGATACCCCCTCAAGTATCACCTTACAACTCAATTAGACATTACACGTTTTGCTAACCTTGCAAGTCTTAAATAGCACGCTACCACGAAGACCCCAACTCGTTTATTAGACACCAAGACCTCGGTATTTCCCTAAACAACTTGCATGAACTCAAATATTTCAGCACAAATCATTAATAATTAGAACAATTATGAAAACCTGTGGGGTCGGAGAGATGGTCATCTGTGCAGCAGTAGAAGGTGTCCTCTGGCGTCCGGCACCAGTACTGGCAGCGACTAGGGGGCGCTGGCGCCTGGGGCTCCGACGGGAGCGCTGGCGTCTGGGGCGCCGTTGGCGGGGAGGTGGGTAGGGCACCAACACATACCATCACCGTCAACAACACCGTCAAGCAAATCTGTTGAGAATTGTATCAACATTTTCAACCTTAGGAAGCCATCAGTACTGTAGATACATTTACCCATTTTGAAAAATCAATTACAAATCGCTATGTACTAGCCAAGGGGTGTCACCTCCCCATCTCCCCAAGCACAGCAGCTAATATTTCCTAATATTTCCGTTGTAATTACTTAGAAAAAAATATAGAACATGTTAAATATTGTACAGAGTATATTTTAATTAATGTGCATAGTGATGTGTGACCAAAAAAGTCTCGCCTAATGTTCACAAAGCTCTTTCCAACTGTATACCTAACTCCCGCATACAATATAAAATCTTTTAAACTTAATATAGCGATACCTCATAAGGCGACATTGAAGCCATGCAATCAAATTAGTATTATTTCCTAATATTCCGTTACTGTAGCTTATCAAGTTTGAATATATAAGTAGGTTCGTTAAAATAATCTCGTTTTTGAGAATACAATGGTCTTTTTGTGTGTATATGTATGTACAACCCGTTCTCGCAAATTTAATAGGTCAATATTGACTTATTAGTTGCGTGCATAGGTGACATACTAAACATAATAGTCTCCCTTGAAAAGCTTCATAGAAAACACCGACCTTACCTAACCTACTTAGTATGTTAAAATAAGCATCTTATAGCTTCGTAATTACAATTGTTACTTAACCTATTATAGGTATGGGTTAGGTAATAATTGTAATTACGAAGCAATAAGATGCTTATCTTAACATACTAAGTAGGTTAGGTAAGGTCGGTGTTTTCTATGAAGCTTTTCAAGGGAAGCTATTATGTTAAGTATGTCACCTATGCACATATTTAATAAGTCAATATTGACTTATTAAATTTGCGAGAACGGGTTGCAACGTATTAACACGATGTACCGAGAATAGCTTGAGCTACCTCATCCCTTTGTGTGTATTTTACCTCAATAAACTTATTTCAATTCAATGGTCTTTTATTCTCCGCCTAATATTGTGCAGTCTTTAGTGCATATATTTTAAAGCCACTCAAGACGGGAATATTTTAACTGGCGACGTTCAACGATACTAGCAGCCCTCGTTACGATCTATATTACTGATATTGTGTGGAGTGGCGAGGCTACAGGCTCACTGGTGTGACACGAGGTTAATGGTTAAAAAATGTTGGCCGACAGCAATGCAGCCACGTCACTGCTTAATCCATGGTTTTCACTGCTACAGGACGTGTGTGTGTACGCTATTCTAACTTCACAACAGTCTGTACTCTAAGCAAATTTCAATGATCGGAAATTTATAAATCTAACAATTATTTGAACAGGCCTGTTAATGAAGTTATTTAATAGCATGACAAATTCGTTCAAAATATCAGCCAAAACAGTCATACAATTAGAAATAACTTCCTGTTGAAATCTTATAACAGGTCACGATGGGTGCAGTGTGGTTCGGTGGAACGAGGCTCTGATGTTGGCCTGCAGGACTACCCACCCCTGGAGGGTACTTACGCACACAACAGTTTACGGTATCCGCAAGCGTTCTTAGCCCTGCACATATATCAATGTAAACTCAGTTGACCAGACCACGCACTAGAAGGTGAAGGGACGACGACGTTAATGTAAACTCAGTTTGCGCTACAGCGTAAGAACTGAATACACTTGCGTATGTGTAGTAATGTGAACCTCCCCCCTTAAACTGGGACGCCAAGCCCCCTCCCCCTTCAAAGTGCATAAAAAATTAAATGGATATTGTATTTATATACAAAAAAGTTACAAACCACGTTACAATATTAGCAAAACTTGGTTGTTATACCTAGACTCATGAAATTAGACTTTACACTAAACAACACTTACTGGCGTTATGATGGTGGGGATAATTCGCGTCTCTTGTCTACCAAACACACCTATAGACCTGCCCTGCTGCTGCACACACACACACCAGCTCCCACACCGCTGTCTGGCCTGACACAGCTGCACACACACCAGCTCCCACACCGCTGTCTGGCCTGACACAGCTGCACACACACCAGCTCCCACACCGCTGTCTGGCCTGACACAGCTGCACACACACCAGCTCCCACACCGCTGTCTGGCCTGACACAGCTGCACACACACCAGCTCCCACACCGCTGTCTGGCCTGACACAGCTGCACACACACCAGCTCCCACACAGCTGTCTGGCCTGACACAGCTGCACACACAAAAGCTCTCACACCGCTGCCTGGCCTGACACAGCTGCACACACACCAGCTCTCACACCGCTGTCTGGCCTGACAGCTGCACACACACCAGCTCTCACACCGCTGCCTGGCCTGACACAGCTGCACACACACCAGCTCCCACACCGCTGTCTGGCCTGACACAGCTGCACACACACCAGCTCCCACACCGCTGTCTGGCCTGACACAGCTGCACACACACCAGCTCCCACACCGCTGTCTGGCCTGACACAGCTGCACACACACCAGCTCTCACACCGCTGTCTGGCCTGACACAGCTGCACACACACCAGCTCCCACACCGCTGTCTGGCCTGACACAGCTGCACACACACCAGCTGTCACACCGCTGTCTGGCCTGACACAGCTGCACACACACCAGCTCTCACACCGCTGCCTGGCCTGACACAGCTGCACACACACACACACACCAGCTTTCACGCCGCTGTCTGACCTGACACACACCAGCTCTCACACCGCTGCCTGGCCTGACACAGCTGCACACACACCAGCTCCCACACCGCTGTCTGGCCCGACACAGCTGCACACACACCAGCTCTCACACCGCTGTCTGGCCTGACACAGCTGCACACACACCAGCTCTCACACCGCTGTCTGGCCCGACACAGCTGCACACACACCAGCTCTCACACCGCTGTCTGGCCTGACACAGCTGCACACACACCAGCTGTCACACCGCTGTCTGGCCTGACACAGCTGCACACACACCAGCTCTCACACCGCTGCCTGGCCTGACACAGCTGCACACACACCAGCTCCCACACCGCTGTCTGGCCTGACACAGCTGCACACACACCAGCTCTCACACCGCTGTCTGGCCTGACACAGCTGCACACACACCAGCTCTCACACCGCTGTCTGGCCTGACACAGCTGCACACACACACACCAGCTCTCACACCGCTGTCTGGCCTGACACAGCTGCACACACACCAGCTCCCACACCGCTGTCTGGCCTGACACAGCTGCACACACACCAGCTCCCACACCGCTGCCTGGCCTGACACAGCTGCACACACACCAGCTCCCACACCGCTGTCTGGCCTGACACAGCTGCACACACACCAGCTCTCACACCGCTGTCTGGCCTTACACAGCTGCACACACACCAGCTCCCACACCGCTGTCTGGCCCGACACAGCTGCACACACACCAGCTCTCACACCGCTGTCTGGCCTGACACAGCTGCACACACACCAGCTCTCACACCGCTGTCTGGCCCGACACAGCTGCACACACACCAGCTCTCACACCGCTGTCTGGCCCGACACAGCTGCACACACACCAGCTCTAACACCGCTGTCTGGCCTGACACAGCTGCACACACACCAGCTGTCACACCGCTGTCTGGCCTGACACAGCTGCACACACACCAGCTCTCACACCGCTGCCTGGCCTGACACAGCTGCACACACACCAGCTCTCACACCGCTGCCTGGCCTGACACAGCTGCACACACACCAGCTCCCACACCGCTGTCTGGCCTGACACAGCTGCACACACACCAGCTCTCACACCGCTGTCTGGCCTGACACAGCTGCACACACACCAGCTCTCACACCGCTGTCTGGCCTGACACAGCTGCACACACACCAGCTCTCACACCGCTGTCTGGCCTGACACAGCTGCACACACACACACCAGCTCTCACACCGCTTTCTGGCCTGACACAGCTGCACACACACCAGCTCCCACACCGCTGTCTGGCCTGACACAGCTGCACACACACCAGCTCCCACACCGCTGCCTGGCCTGACACAGCTGCACACACACCAGCTCCCACACCGCTGTCTGGCCTGACACAGCTGCACACACACCAGCTCCCACACCGCTGCCTGGCCTGACACAGCTGCACACACACCAGCTCTCACACCGCTGCCTGGCCTGGCACAGCTGCACACACACCAGCTCTCACACCGCTGCCTGGCCTGGCACAGCTGCACACACACCAGCTCTCACACCGCTGTCTGGCCTGACACAGCTGCACACACACCAGCTCTCACACCGCTGTCTGGTCTGACCCCCCCCCCCGCCGCCTCGCCTCCCACAATCACACCTCGGGCGAGGCTCGTCCCATGCACCTCCACTGACGTGTTCATAACGATCAATTACGTTCCCTGTATTCTAACTCGGTAGTTTCTCATATATAATTTAATATAATTTTATATTAGAATTTGGTGTATAGTTAGGCCTAAATTAGATTAGGTTAGGTTATGTTGGTAATTAAATATTTGTATATGAAGTTTTTTTTTTTTTTTTATTTTTATAAATTACACAAATTACAAGAACACACAAAACAACGCAAACCTGTACACATCAAGTACACCAATGAAGTAACAGTACACAGGAATAAACAGTCTGTACACTAAACAATAACAGTAACCGCAAAACAAACACAAGCGCTGAACAAAATGAAAACGCATTTAAGCAATGGGCTAAACAGTACAGGGAAATAAGTGCTAAAACAGTACATGGAAACAATAGGCTAAACAGTTCATATCTACATAGCAACACAGAACATGGCAAAGAAAATTACATGAAAAATAAATTAACAATAAAGTACATAAATAACATTGAAACACACCTGGAACCAATAACATAAACATACACAGACGTGGATATAGAATCACGTGCACAAAACCACGCCTACCACACACACAGAAGAACAAAGGAGCATAGGATCATACACGCGCTACCCAGGAAAATGATATACACTAAATAAGAAGAAATTATGTACACGCACACTAAACACACTCTAAACAACAAGACAAACACACCCATACCACCCACACCACCACGGCACACCACACTGCACCCAAGCACGCAAAATAAAGGGTTACAGGCCAAAGCGAAACACGGCCACAAAAGGAACAGTAGAAAACAGTACAGCAGAAAACCCAGGCCCACGCAGGAGCCAAAACCCCCCTCAAAATCACACACCCACACGCATACGGACATAACCGGCACCCGGAGGTACGGAAAACACACCACACACACACAGGAGCAGCAGCATCTCAAGGGGGGAGACACACAAACACACGCAACCCCCGCCAAGGACACCCCAAGAAGCGGAAAGGGAGCGCATAGCAAAGCAAACCCCGAAACCCCCCAACCCCTCTAAACCCCCCCCATCAACACCCCAACCCCACCCAAGCCGAGAACATCACCTTGCCACCAAGGCACCCGCCGACCCAAAGGCAACCCCACGAACATAGGCATCTGTGAACCACCGACCAAACTCCTCCGGAAAAGCGCGCTGCAACCACCACCAGGTAAACCGCATGCGCCCCCGTAAAAATCCTAAAATTCGGGCGATCCCAAAACCCTCCCGCCTCCCAACCCACACACAAAACACATAATCAGCAACCAAAACCCACAATGTATTACGCACCCGCTGCGGATAAGCCGGAAAATACAAAAACAAAAACTGCAAAACATCACCCCGACAACCCGGACCACAAAACACCTCCAGGACATCCCGAAACCAGTCCACCAACCCCTGTAACCGGACACAAAAATAAAATACATGCACCTGCGATTCACATAAACCACAGTGAACACACGCCCCAGAATCACGCAAGCCAAGCATACACAACCGCTCATTAGTCGCCAGCGACAAATGCAGAACCCGAAACAGCAATTCACGCTGCTGAGGCGCCAAGAACCGTGCCCCCAAACACGACCAGATACCACCCCAATCCCAACACGGGAACAAGCCCTCCACTCGAGGCCGCACCCGGGGCAACAACACCCCATACACAGCCTTGCACGAGAAAGACAGAAACCCAGGATGGCGGCAGAGCTCCCGAAGAATCCCCACGGCCCAAGAATAAACAGGGGGGGTAACCAAGGCCACCTCCTGACAAACCCCCAAATCAACCAAAAAACTGAAGCGAAGCGAGCAGAAAAACACACCCAGCGTATTCAACCCCCCACCGAGAGCCAGCCCCCGACGCAACGAGACCCAGAAGAGGGCCTTGGCCTTCGTGAAAACGTCAGGAATGCCAACACCCCCCTCTCTCACCCCTAACACCAACGTCGAACGGCGCACCGGTTGATAACGCCCACACCATACATATCTATACACCACACTCTCCAAACTCAAGGCCTTCCGACGATCCAACGGGAAACATCGAGCCACAAACCAGACACGCGACAAGACCTTACACGCAACAAGCAGTCCCCTCTGATAAATCGTCAAGGGACGACGCGACAAAAGGCCAACTGCAACACCAACCGACCGAGAGACAGCACCCCAATTCCACTCCAAGGAGCGATCATAGGAGGCAAACCAAGTAATCCCAAGAACCCGAATCGAGGAGACCACCGGAAACCACGACCTATCCCACACCAGGCGGGAGGCCCACTCACCGATCCCCATCAACCCCGACTTCGCCCGATTAAGAACGGCCCCCGTAGCGGACTCAAACCGCAGGAGAACGTCCTGGACAGCTTCAACAGAACCCTCCGAAGCTACAAATAGAATGGTGTCGTCAGCATACCCGCAAACGGGTAGCCGGAGACCGGACGGCAGACAAGGAGGCACGATCAAGGAACACGCTTTCACCGCCCGAAAAAGAGGTTCCTGAAAAATCACATACAAAAGCATGGACATGGGACACCCCTGACGAACGGAACGGCAAATAGGAAAAAATGAGCTAAAAAACCCATTCACACAAACGCGACTGCGACTCCGGACATACAACAAACGGATCCACCCCACAAACACCACCGGAAACCCAAGCCTCTCCATAGCACTAAAAACAAACTCTAAAGACACCCGATCAAAGGCCTTGGACCAGTCCAA